GGGGGGGGGGGGTTGGTGCAGTTGTGCTTGTATTTTTAACAATACAACAACTTCCAGGACAATCACCATTGGGGCATATTTAGATACTGCTCTTTGGTGCCATTTACAGACACGTCCATATATACCTTATACACTAAATAATTGTTATTTGAGTACAGAAGGGTCAGTGAAGACAATATGTTCTTTAGGGAGGATGAACAACAGAAAGTAGCAGTATAGATATTATACAGCAGAGTGTGTACAATGGAGACATGTAGAGTATGTATAACACAGCAAAACATATATAGTGTATAGTGTTAGTATAGTGCTCAGGTTGCTATGCAAGAGTACGTAACATCTAGGTGAGAAGGCATGAGTCGTCATTCACTATCATCTCCATAGATCTCAAAGTTATACCTAGCTTACTGCTTGTTGCTCCTTACACCTTGCTGGGCACACATGCAGTGCCAGACCTCTATCTTCCCTAGGTTCCCTAGGCCTCAACTCCCAGTCCAAACCTCTTGCTTACTCTATACCAAGTAGTCCTGGTTAATGTTGCTGTTGAGTAGGGTACATACCTTGTCTACTTCATAGTCATGGAATCAAAAGACAAAGTACTCCCTTGCCCTTGTGCCTAATATATGCTATAACCGAAAGACTCATCATCTTTCCAGCACCTCAATAAGCAAGGCCATCATCAAAGTAAAAGCATTTCCCTTTTATTCATGAGAAGTGCAAGATATTTTGGCCACTACAGGCTCAACCAAAGTCACACTTTTGCATGTGTTTTAATGTGCTTAAGTGTACTAAAATGCTTCAAAGACATGCAAAACTCAAACCATCAAAATGTGTGTTACCAAGCATGGATCCAGTTAAGCAGTGGGTGTTGCAGTTACAGATGAACACTGTAGAAGTATCAGGGTTTTTGACATATCTTAGCATCCTATTTTTTCTGCAGGTTATGTTTTGGTCAGGCTAAAATGCAGAAAACACCCATTAGGTGAAGAATTTTGATAAGCTACAGTATAAATCACTGATATAATTCCATAAAGCTTACTCTATCTGTCTCCTTTTGGAAGAAATTACCTTTTTTTTTCTCCTACAGTATGAAGTGGAGGTTCAGCTTTCTGCACTGGACCAAACCCCAGAGGTGGAGCTTATAGTGAGCTAATAGAACTTGAACGTTTTTAAAAGTTAGAAAAAAACATTTTCGGTTTCGACCTGAGATTTTTTTTTCATTTCAGTTTAGTTTCGGTTTTGAAATTTTCATTTCTGTGCAACTCTTAAAGTGGTCTTAGTCATAATAATAATAAATAAATCCTTATCTAAAAACGAAACACCTATTAGTACTTTCAATACATTTCCAGACGTCAGGAATCCAGCACGGGAAGCCAGTTTATATAATACATTCTCCAATATCCATACCACAATGAGCTTTGTCCCTATGTACATACAGCTCACTCCCCAGTACCCATGTCATTAGTGAAGCTGGAATAGCTGGAAGAGAGGGCAATGTAGTCTTGATGGGTGACTTCAATTACCCAGACATCAATTGGGCCAATGGAACTTCGGGTTCGGCAAAGGCGGGGCGATTTCTAAACATGTTGCGCGACAATTTCATGGACCAGATGGTGGAGACTCCTACCAGAAAAAATGCCATCTTAGATCTAATTGTCACTAATAATGCAGAGTTAATCGAGGATATTGTAATTGGGGAGTCATTGGGTAATAGTGATCACAATGTGATTACTTTTAATATAACTCTAGTTCATACAGCTCACAACCCAATAACAATCCCACCATGTCACCGCACTCCTGTTGCACAAAGATTACTCCGCAACATCCCTTTCACCAATGAGTTCTACACTCCAGTACTGAAAGCTCATTCCCAAGTATCCAGCAAGCACATTACTCCCCTATATCCATGTCACCAGTCAGATCTGTACTTCAACACAAAAATCTCACTCTCCCAGAGCCATGCTACCAGTGAAATATTACCCATGCTACCAGTGAAATCTTCACTTCAACACACACACATCTCACACCCTTGGACCAATGCTACCAGGAGATCTGAACTTCAACAAACATATCTTACTCCCCTGGATCCATGCTACCAGTGAGATCTGCAATTTAGCACATACAGCTCACTCCACGGCGACCATACCACTAGCAAGATATTTGCCACCACTCCCACTACACACAGCCTACTTCTAAATAGTAATTTCACCAGTGGGTGAGATCTAACCACCAGTATACAAAGATATAAAGGATCATTTTTCATGGAATCTGCAGTACAGAACACACAGCTCACTTCCCATTATCGATGCCACCAGTGAGATCGACATCTTGCTCCACTGGGTCCATGCAACCAGTGAGGACTGCAACCCAGGGTATACAGCTCAGCCCCCAGTGATTGTGCTACCAAGCAAGATTCTTTTACACCCCTACTACACAAAGCTTACTCCACAATATTCATTGAACCAGTGAGATCTGTGTTTATAACTACTCAGGGGGGAGATAACTGTGTGTACAGCATCTGTGGTCGAAAGAATTGTATACAGTATATGTGCATTGTGGGGAAAAAGAACTGTGTATGTGACTATTGTGAGAAAACACAACTGCATACATATCTGCTAAGGAAAAGAGACCTCTGTGTGTATGGCTGTTGTGGGACATGGAATGGGAATGGTGTATACGGCTGCTAAGAAAAAAAACCTGTATATGATTGCTGGAGAGGATATGTGCATGCCAGGCTCTCATGCATTAATGGCTGAAGGACCCTGTATGCCCACCCACAGCCATTAATAAGTTTTTCACTTTTGTTTTCCTAATGTCTTCTTCTAATTCAAGTCTCAACTTTATTAGTGGCTGTGTCAGTACAAAATAATTCATTTTTATAATTAGCATTCTTAATTCGGGATTACAGTCCTGCAATTTTGTTCTACTTCGTGTTGATAACATTAACATCAACAACTTACTTCCGCAGATTGAGCAGTAGTGGAGGTGGCGCGCTCCCCTGTCGTTCAGCAGATACCACCGAGACTGAGACGGGGTCGAGCAACGCAGTCTCTCCAGCCGATCTACCTACGAGCGGTGAGCGGGGAGAGAAGGTCCATCGAGAGAGAGTGGCTGGAAGAGACAAGAGGAGCGAGATGAACGG